ACAAAGTTGAGTATGCTTTGCTGAACCGCACCAAGGCCACCGGAAGAGGGATCTTTCGGTGGATTCCTCCTCGTATCAGTCGATCCGCGCTGCTGCTGATCCGGATTCGAAGGCCGCACGACCTCCACCTCGGAGTCCGAGCTGGAACTTGAGCTTGAGCTTGAGCTTGAGTTAGAGCTAGAGCTAGAGCTGGAGAAGCTGGAGCTGGAGCTAGAGCTGGAGCTTGAAGAGCTAGAGCGTGCGATGCCGAGCAGTCCGCGCGCGGGCGTGTGTGCGTGTGGAGCCCACTGCTGCGTGCGTGTCTTCGGAGAGCGCGCGCGCGCTGGTTGTACTCCTTTAAGATCGTCTTCATGTCTGTCTTATGTGTATGCACATATGTCAAGTGTGACACTCACATCAGATGTCCAACGATCGAGCATCAGGCGGCAGGCGCGCTTGAGATGCCAGCGCACAGCCACTATGCTCAGCAAAGGAGCCGTGTATGCTCCTCGCACAGACGAATATGCTCCTTTTTGAGCAAAATATGCTCGAGCATTGCTATTTTTCAATTATGCTTTTTTTATGCTCCAAATGGCCAATTATGCCAAAAGAAATGCTAGCATAATGGGCCTAAGCCTAGACAGCACTTCAGACAGCAGCTTTGTGCCCCGCCAGCTGCTTGTTCAATGCCTACCATGGAGTTTTTGTACAGACAGCACTTCAGACAGCAGTATGCTGTAGTCGGCAATCTTCCGTTTTGGTATAGAGTGGGACAGGGAGGGGGTGATGCTACTAGCTGTAGTCGAACGGTGGGACGGACGTGCAGTTCAGTATTTAGGTGTATGTACCTCTTCGGGCTCTTGGATACCTTTTTCTCGTTATGTGTGTGCGTGCTCTTTAGATCCTCAGATGGCTCTAGCACTTTCGTGACCACGGGCTGAGAGTGTTTGCTAGATTTTGGCATTTAGCAACTGACATACGGTTTAATGTGAAGACAACAACAACGACAACTATGGGAGGGGGGGGTCGGGGGAAAGAGGGAAAGACCGAGGGAGCTGTAGGGTTTGTTTCTTATTCGACACACTCCCCCGTAAACCCTCGGTTCTTATGTAGTAAGGCAGCGGTCGCCGCTGTGTTTCTTATTGAGACATTTCTTTTTGTGTGACCCAGATTGAGCTATGTTTCCTAACCCTATTTTCTTATTGTTGGTGAAAAAGTGAGCCTCAACATCTGAACAAAATATTTCCTAACTGCGGGCGCCAACTGCTGTACACAGGCAGTTAGTTCCTGGGAAAGAAATGTCTTCGCGGGGGCTCCGTGGTCCAGGATTGGTACGACACGCTTTTAGTCCGGTCCGCCTGTCCGCCCGCGTTGGCCTGCTGCCAGACCCAAAGACAGACAGCAAAGACAGCGGGAGACAGCGGGAGACAGCGAGACAGCGAGATAGGCGTCCATCCAACGTTCACTCACTTGCCCCGTTTGGTGTTGAAGTCTCCTACTCGTTCAACTCCGAAATAGTCAACGCTCAATACGCCAGTGAGGGACCCATATTTCAAATTCAACCGCACAGCTGACATCATGCCCGTGTCCCGAACCGCGATGTGCTGAGAGGGGAAGAAGTGGAGATTTTCAAGATCGTGTCCGAGGGTGCCACCCCAGAGCAGTGGGCGAGGTGGCTGCGAGCTCCACTCGAGCACGCCGCCGCCAGCGGCAACTTGGACCTCGTTGACAGGCTACTGAAGGCGGGGGTTGACGGCAAGGCCGGATGAAGGGGCTGCGGCGGCCGGACTCTGCTCGATGCCGCTGCCTTGGGTGGAAACGCTGGTGTGATGTCCGCCTTACTCCAAGCAGGGTGTGGACCGGATGTCAATATCGTGGCCTCTTCCACTGGTAGATCGGCGCTGTACCAGTCAATCCTGGGCAAACATGAAGCTGCGGCGAGAAAGCTCATCCTGGCCGGAGCCGATGTCAACTTTGTGGACCGCGCCGACGAAGCCGGCCCGCTCTTCGCCGCTGTTAGGGCGGGGTGTGACGACCTTGTGGGTAATCTACTGATGGCCGGAGCAAATCCAAACGTGCATCAAAGCGAAAGTCGCGGAACTCCTCTGCACGCTGCGGCTAAGCTGGGCCTCGCGAAAACTGTTTCGGTGCTGTTGAGCTCTCCCAGCACCGAAAAGAACGCCCTTGACAACCAAGGGTTTTCCACGCTGATGGTGGCATCCAAGCAGGGCCACGTAGCCACGGCAAAGGTTATCTTGGCCGCAGGTGCCGATCCCGACATACGGGACCCGGACAATCACTCAGCGCTGGTATTCGCGGCTCAGTACGAAAGAGTCGACGTGATGAAAGCGTTACTGGAGCATGGCGTAGATGCCAATGTTGGGGAAGGCGACTGGACTCCTCTTCACTGGGCCGCTCACTTTAACAGCGCCGGCTGTATTGCGGTGCTGCTTGATGCGGGAGCTGATATCGATGCCAAGGTTCGTTCTCTGACGGCAAAACATCTCTTCACTTCGCGGCCGAAGGTGGGTATAACGAAGCCCTGGTCGCCCTCTTGAAGCGGGGAGCCAGCGTCCATCAGACGACCGACGATGGATCTACGGCTCTACACCTGGTAAGCGAAATGGAAGGACATGCACCGGACGACACCGTGGATATTCTTTTGAGAAGTGGTGCCTCAGAACAAGCGGTGGATCGTATTGGGAAAGCCCCCGTTGATTTGTTCAAACGAGTGCAGCGATGTTTTCAGAGCGATCCGCCGATGGGGAACAGCGAGTGGCCCGAGCTAGAGCGCGCAATCGAGCTGTTGGCCCGGGCTCCAGCTGACCGGACGTGGCGGCGCCGGTGCTGGCTCATCATGCTTCGTGAACGAACCAAGAAGGAGCGGACGATCCATGGCGGTCGTCGACGCAAGGGCAAGAAAGTAGGCAATGGCGAAGGGCTTCTTTTCGGTAATGGGGAGCGTGGAGGAAGTAACAAGGTGCGGCGAAGTGGTCGCAGCCGAGGTCGCGGCGGGGCGAGGGCGGCCGTCGAGGTGGACTTGCGCGGCTTGGTTAGCGTGCTTATTTGCCTGGAGTCGGAGATGTTTCGCGCGATTGTGGGCTAAATGTGAGATCAGGGAGAGACAGGTGCGTCGGCGTTGGGGGCTGTTGCTATACCTAAATCTAACTGTAGTTGCTCCTACGTTTAACGTTTAAGGTCAAACAAAACCAGCTGTTGTTGTCGGATGGTGAGTTGACTTGGCTGCTTTCTAACGCACACGTGTCCATATTGGGACGTTATTCATCTCGCACTGCTTGTGGAGAGTTCGGCGCCGGTGCTGCCATCCACGTCGCTGTACATCGGCTTACGGACGTGTGGGAAGCCCTCAATTCATGGCTTCCTAAAACTTGAGAACCATCCAACACCCACATAATAGAGGGAAAGGTGCAAGGCCGATAATTTGTGCAGGCGCCGGGCATGCGAATTCCACACGAATATCTGGCTGTGTTACTCAAGTTTGCACGAGGTTGTTGAGTAGATGTTTGTGGCGGCGAGGCGTGGTGTGTGATTGCTGTTGTTGTTACATTGGCATCATTCAGGCCTCCGCTCAGTTCCTCATCTTCCCTAATCTTCAACAGCAACGGCATATTTTCCGAACAAGGTCCATGAGGCTCTCGGAATCTCAGGAGAATCTGATAACTTAACATTAGACCCAGAGCAAGTCCCGCCATCGCACGAAAACAATCATTGCTGAAAGAACAAGCCCACAGAAACACAACAGCAGTACAATGTAAAATTTTTTAAGCCCCACACAAGACATATGCAGAACACTATTTTCCTATTGAAGCTGGGTCGCAAACATACGTCTCTGTCCGCAATGCAAGCAAGTATGTGGTAGACCAAGCAATCTGGCGCTTTGTTAGTGAAATTAGAGGAATAGAATACATCTTCGATGTTGCACCGCTTTCGGGGCGTGTTGGTTAGATCATCTTGGTGTTGGTTTTTTGGGGTTCCAGTGCCAAGAACTAGACTGGACGAATATGAGAGGAGAGCACTCATCACGTATCGCTCACGCGTTGCTCTTTTCGCGAATGAGGTCAAGGATCGGCCTCGTCCCGATGGCAGGAAAGAAATGGACTCTTTGATCTTGGTTTGTTGGGTTATGGTGAGATCGCAGGAATCCGATGGTGACACGTTTTTCCCCAAAAGCCTAAGCCTTCCGGTGACACGCCACTGTCCACATGTATCTCGTCTTTTTCCAGGTCTTCAAGTGTCTCCTGTTGTTCCAGACAGCGTGATATACTTTTCGACTACCACCGCAACAGCAGTCTTAAAACAATTCGAAGCTATTCCCGGAGCCTTCGAAGCTCGGGATTGTTTCATCTCCGGCGTTCTTTTTCGCCGACCAGACCAATCCCGCTACGTGTTGTGTGTGGGAAGAGGGCGAATCGCTTCGAATGAGAATAAAACCCAAACGAAAATCACCACACATGTCATATAAGACGTGTTCGTTCTGTTCCCGACGGCATCTTTCTCCAAACCGCTCCCGCTCCTATGTGCTGCTGTGCTTTCACCCAAGGTGGGAGCAGTATTTATTACTTCTGCATGTCTAACTCAAATATCCCACTTTCGTCGATCAGCTGGGCCCCCGAGTGGTGATATATCGGTTAGTTCCCGCTGGAGCTATCCTTTCTACCGTCACTCTCAGCGATGTTGGGATCACAGCGAACTACAATTGTACACGCGTTCGATTATTAGACCCGAAAGACCCGTTCCATTCCATTCATCACTTTTGTAGGAGAGAGTGACATGCAATGCCCCTAACGCGTTTTTGCAAGTAGACCGCTTCCTTAAGAGGGTTTAGTGAGATCTAGGGAGAACAATGTGTGTGTGTGTTTGGCGTTTATGTTTGGGGTCGTTCGTAGTAATTGTAAGAATGAACGAAGTTTCTGTCTCCTTTCTGCCACGGGCATCCTGTTAGGAAGAGAAAAGTTCTCCTGCCCGTCCGCGGGGAAACAAGGTAAGCTTCGATTTGACCTCATGAATACTACTATAATCCAATTGTGGTGTGAGGTTGTACTGCATGTACGGGTGTCGCCTTTAAGCCATGCATTGTCCCCGAACAGAATGCGCCATTTTAGCTGCACATGTTTTGCTGTTGGTGTTTCGTGTCTGCGCAGACGTACGATAGGCACCCTGGCGGGACCGACGCGGCCGTGCGACGCCGAGAAGACGAATTCTGCAATCCTGCAGAAAATGCACCATATTTGAAGAGGCTCTACCGATGATTTCGTCGGCTCAAGCTCTTCTGAGTCGCGTTTGTGTATTTTTATGCATGCCTTGTAGTGGTCGAGGCGGTCCCGTCATCGTCATCGATATTTCGATGAACACAGGAAGCAAGGGAGTTGGTAGTTCGGGGAGCAAATGCGATGTAGGTAATGGATTAACTGGGAAATGTCACCTAGTGCCTAGTGTCAGCCCATCTCGTCTTTGCAAAAAAAAACAGTCCAACATGTTGTGGTGGTGTCCGCACATGGCATGTGCCTAAATGGTAGTTGGAAACCTTTGCGTGTCAGTGTCGGAGCTGTTGTTGCTCCATTTTGCGCACGTTCTACAATATATTTATGGGTATCATCAATGTTTTACGCGCGTTCAAGCTTGGCTACCAACGGCTTGTTTACTTGCATGGCTCGTAAGGCTTTGCTCTTTGATGACAAGAAGAGTGAGTGCTGGTGGTGTCGGACCCTGATTTTGTTCGTGGATGGGAACGACCTTTGAAAATGAATATATTTGGGCGCGATCATCCACACCAATGCACCACCGACTATTTTTCCATTTCCGACACGGAGGAGCCACCAAGCCGGGAATTTTAATTGCTGTTCGGCACCTTTCGGAGCAACTTGATATCGTGGGTCGCCAGGAGTCGTTGATTGTGCTCCTTGTGCGGACGATCTTCTCTTCCTGTTTCCCGTCTTTTGTGTCGTCGGTGATCGATCTATCTGAACGTAGCTTGGCTCTCCCAGCGTGCCGATGGTTGTCCAAATCTTGCGGCATTCGGTGTGTAACATAAAAGCAGCGTATTTTAGCGTAAATGTTTGTCTCCGATTTTTCGGTAACCTAGTGTATTGACTATGGCCGTCACACCTTTGCTTCGATGGCCGCCCCAATGTGGGGGGCGTTCGCGCCTGCAATTTAGCAACAAAAGAACAAACCTCTACCGGAGGTCCTCCCCGTTTAATACTATTGCGCGTCCGACAGATTGCTCGTCGCAGGTGCTCTCAAACCCGCTCCCCTTGCACCCTCGGGCCTGTGGGTTTCATGTTCGTTACAGAAATCCAGCCGTTTTGCGTTCTCAGGACAAGGAAGGGTTGCTACCTGATTGCATCCATCCGCCTCGCAAGCCAAAGCGAATAAGTCTATTTCTCACCTTTTATTTTTCTGAAGAATATAGCACCGATGACGCTTTTCTGTAGATCCCTCTGGTGACGCAAGATGCTCACTCACAACAACGTAGTTGAATGTTTACGGACGAAGTTTTCACAAAATGAATTGATGCACGCTTCCCAGCTTCTGATGTCATCTCCCACCCGTAAGCGACCCGAGTGGTTCCTCGCTGTGCCTCGCTTCGTGGCCGCAAAAAGCGGCGGGAACTGCAGCACCACCAACAACCTCCTCGCGGACAATATTAGGTTTATTTACCAGGACACATGCATCCTTTTTCCGAGCAGCAGCATAATGAAGCAGAGTTCTGCAACGCAACCTTCTCAGCACTTCATCCGCCGCGATGCACGTCAGTCCCGGCTTGACTATTTATTTAGGAGACGACGAGCAGACTGCTCCGATCGCCGACCTAAAAAGCTAAACGTAAGAGCTCACATTTTACCAGTCAATTTAGTGTCTTCCGCAGGCAGCGCATCATGCTCGATCAAGCTCGGAGCTCGCATCCCCTTCGCTCATCGCTGTTATTGACTTCGTTTTGAGTTGCTTCGACGTGATATCGTTTTAGGATGTACTTGAAGCTTCCACGGGTGGCCAACACACCGGGTTGTAAGGGCACTTTTGGCAACCTGAATCGAGATTTATTTTGGCACGAGTTGCAACCTCCCCACCTTGGGTAATTCTCGCAATGCAACCATGGCCAAGTTGTGCAAGGATACCTTTCTTGGAGGTTGCGCGTTGTTAACAAGCCGGGTAGGGGGCAGGCTGCCGATGGTAGTGCAAGGTGTACCCTTTCTTGGTGGGTGGTGCGCTGCTAACAAGCCGGACAGGGGTCAAGCTGTCGATGGCGGTGCAAGGTGTACCATTTCTTGCGGCTGGTGCACTGCCTACAAGCTGGACAGCGAGCAGGCTGCCGATGACAGCGCAAGGTGTACCCTTCCTTGGAGGTTGGCGCCCCATGCACAAGTCGGTTAAGGGGAGGCTGCCTATGGTATGACAAGGTGTACCCTTTTTTGCAGGTTGGCGCGCGTCGCACAAGCCGGTTGGGGGACAGGTTGCAGGTAATAGTGCAAGTTGCACCCTATCTTGCAGGTTGACGCGTTACGCACAAGCCGGTGAGGGGGCAGGTTGCCGATGGCATTGCAATGCGTACCCTCTCAGAGATTGCGCACGATGCGGCCGGTCTACAACAAAGTGCAGTGCTCAACACATAATAGAGGGTTCGATTCCCCTGCACTGCGTTTTTGTTCATGTTTCATTTGTTTTTTTCGCCACCTATATTCGAATCACTACATTTTACGATCTGTACATCCCGAGCAAACCTCTGAAACAACGACATCCCGTGCCCATGCATCACACACATTGCCAGTAGCTCTAGCTTAAACCCATCTCCGCCCGCGGCTTATCATCTCTCCCCAGGGCCGTCAACGTCTCAAGTTGCACGAAAACATGTAGTCTAAGCGAGAACCATAAAAGGTACTTCAAATCGAAACAATCTTCAAATTGAAACAATACATACCCTTTCGAACGTCGTTCTGTGTATTGAATGTCCCCCCACAACAGCATGCCCTCGCCCATGACAGGCAGCAGCGACAGATTCCAAACGCCCTGGCACACGCAACACAGTAAGAAAACACCTAGCTCTCATCCCGCGCCAGGCGCCCTCATGCACCAGCGAGAGTAACAAGCATATCACAGCACCATATGACTAAAAAAAAACAGAGACATGGCGAGCGGGATATTTCTCGGCCTCCTCCGTCAAAGCTTCCACTCGTTGTGAACGCCATGGGGACCCGAGAAAACGCTTTGAACGATGTTGCGGCGTAGGTCCCGGCGACTCGACCTGGAGGTTACCGACCAGCAGCGAAAAAATATTGAAGTGTTCGAGGAGGGTAATGGTGGGCCGTCGAGGAATGGAGGGCATGCTCTCCCCCTTTGCTGCAGTATAGTCCTTGGTACGGCTGACAGATGTACATTGTCAACAATAATATTTGCAAGCAGGCATGGGGGGGGGGGCACAACCGACAGCATACCCGCGGGTCGTCAATACGTCAGAGACAAGGATGAGCTGCGCACCCCCCAAGAACTAAATTGAAGGGAGGTGAGCTACATTCAAACATCAGGGGTCGCCGACGGACACGATGGGATGAGGAAGGGTGTATGTACATTATAGGGAGCCACGGGCATTACGGATGCACGACAAGAAACACGCAAGCATTCAACACAATCGCAGGCAGAGAGAAAGAGGCAGAAAGAGAGGCACGATTTTTGGGAAGGACAAGACACATGATATACCTTGTCAACACGGTTCAGGTGTCCGCCAAGGCTTTGTAGCCAGCGTTATCACCAGAACCATCGCTTTTCTTGCTCGGAAACGAAGAACATCCCGGTCTCCATCTTTAGTTTACCCTCCTCCCCCATCGGGTTAAGGGGTGGAATGACGAGCTGAAAGAAGAAATACGGGAACGTAGAGAAGTCTTCAAGCAGTACCTGAGTGAGGCGTCTGAGGAGAGTTGGGAAAAGTACAGGGCCAAGAGAAACAGGTGAAGGGACTAGTGAAAAGGAAGAAAAAGTGTATTTGGGACGAAGTAGTGCAGAAGGCCAACGGAGGCCTGGAGGGGAACGTCAAGCAGATGTGNGGTTAAGTGGTGGGATGACGAGCTGAAAGAAGAAATACGGGAACGTAGAGAAGTCTTCAAGCAGTACCTGAGGGAGGCGTCGGAGGAGAGTTGGGAAAAGTACAGGGCCAAGAGAAACAGGTGAAGGGACTAGTGAAAAGGAAGAAAAAGTGTATTTGGGACGAAGTAGTGCAGAAGGCCAACGGAGGCCTGGAGGGGAACGTCAAGCAGATGTGGGAAGGGATTAATTAGTGGAATGGTAAAAAAGACCGCGCAAGGGGGGGATACAGGGGTCGCAACTTTGCGAGGTGTGAACGGTGGATTAGTCAGCAGTGGGAAGGGAAAAAGGGAAGTTCTAGCAGAACACTACAAGAGACTTGGAGTGCCTCGGAGAATAAAGCTTTTGACCAAGTGTTTAAGAAGGAGATGGACGCATGGGCCCAAAAAGAAGAAGAGACATCGAAGGCAGACGTTGGGAACGTAGAACTAGAAAAGGAGTTCACTGAGGACGAGGTTGAGGCGTGTGTGAACAAGCTGAAGTGCCACAAAGCAGCAGGAGCGGATGGGATAGTCAACGAGTTCATGAAGTTTGGGGGGAAGGGGATGATCCAGCTGATGGTACTGCTGTACAATTGGGTGTGGAAAAACGAGTATACGCCAAGTAGATGGAGGGAAGGAGTGGTTGTGAACTTGTTCAAGAAAGGAGACAAGACTGACCCAGGAAACTACAGGGGGATCACACTGTTTAACACAGTAGGAAAAGTGTTCTGTAAGCTGCTGAACGATGGGATAGTGGAAGT